GTTTATTTTTATTTCCTGCACTTTATTTTCAGTTTATGATTGAGGTTTTGGAATCTTGGTTAATATTGGTGTCTCTCGACTTTTCAGAATGTCACATAAGTTGAGACGCAATAGTTCTCAAACTTCTAGATTAAAATAATTGAATCATGCTTAGCAATCATACTTTTGGAAAAATGGAATTTTGAATAATAATTTTAAGGAGAATGTGTAGTTAAAAAATTGGAAATTTTTTGAATTTGCGTGTAAAATATTTTATTATGCAAGAGTGTGATTGAAAATGAGTACGTAGAAAAAATGTTGAAAAATACAGTTGTCAAACAAGGGCTTATTTATTTACAAGCAATTTATATTAGGTGGTGTCTTTGCTTAGAAGGAAGTTGTTAGGAAAGGAGTTGATGAGATGTGATTGTGTAGTTTCTACACTTATTTAGGATGTCGAACTTATGAATTTGAATTTCGTCTAGTTCGTATTGCTATTGATTGTGTGCGTTTGCATGTTTTACTAGAGAAAACGAGGAACAAAAGAAAAACCGGAAAAAGAACAGATCTTTACCTCCATGCTTAGCTTCCTTAACCTGTTGGATCTTCCGGACATGTGTGGCCTCCCACCAAGCATCATCGGCTGCCGACGAGGCCATGGCCTGAGAATTGTGTAGCACATCGGCAGCCTCCCACGTTAATTTCTTGCTTTTGTTTATTAACAATGTTTTCTAATTAAATTCGTAGTTAAGAAAAACGATGTTGTTTTGAACCTAACCCTGGATTATGATTATTTATTGGACATATTTATGGATGTGTATCATTTTTATTATTGTGTTTAATTCAATTAATTCCTGTCAATTGTTGATTGATTTGTGAACGTTAGTGAGTCGAGATATGAGTTATTTGATCCAACCAACGATAAAAATCCGTAATTTATCTATATAGAGAAGCATACGCTTAGGATTATTGTAATCATTAAATGAAATTTTTGGTGAATCAAAACGCTAAGCTCATGTCTGAGCCCCATTATCCCAAAATACATTTTTTCTCAAAATCATTTTCAATTTTTCCAATAAAATAATACACATGTTAAACCAAAGTATTTTTTTCCTACTTTTAACCACGCAATCTTCAAAAAAATCAATTACAAAATTCATTATTTGTCAAAAATAGGGATCAAACGGGGACTTAATTTGATTAAAATTCAAATAGTGATATATTGAGTTTATCTAATTATGTAGAATTGGATTTACTTGATAGAGGTTTTCAACTGTTTTAGAAAATTTCGGTTGGATTCAGTATATGAGATTTACCATGAATTTGTATGAAGGGGAAGGATAAAGGTAAAACATTGAGTCCTAACATTTGTTTCTATAATTTGATTTAAAAATCAACGTATCAACTAGTTAGCCCCTATTTGGCAATTATTATTTTCAAACTCTTTATCCTACATATTCATTTTCAATCATGCATCTACATAATAAAATATTCTGTACGTAAATAAAAAAATTTTCTACAATTTAACCACACATTTTTCTAAAAATCACTATTTAAAATTCTATTTTCCTAAATAATGGTTGTCAAACGAATAATTCCTTGTTACTTCTTTCTACTTCACTATTTAAAATTCTATTTTTCCATTTTGTTTTGACTAATTGAAATCGTCTCAGGTAACACACCAAAATGATGATCGATCAACTTCCATACATCAACAGAACAAAATGGGAAAAAAAAATTCAAATATACTCCTATTTCTTCAAACTGCTTTTCTTGTATATTGACATTGCATATTCTCTAATCTAATAAAATTAATGAATCAAGGACTAATGTTATATTTACATAAATAGAACGCCTTATGATTTCAATCAACTGTAATGAACGAAATTAAGAAAGTTTGGAAAAATTCCCGACTTCTTCTGAATTTTGTTAGAGTATGGAGACTCGAATTCTATTTAACTAGGATGAAAAGCTCGTAGTGCTACATATGTGATGAAAATACAATTAGAGATTTTTGATTTTTGATTGATTTATTTATTTTTGG